GTCTGCTATAAAGTCTCCCCGGAGCCTTCTCTTCTCCAGGCTGAACAAGCCCAACTCTCAGCCTGTCCCCATAGCAGAGGGGCTCCAGCCCTCTGAGCATCCCTAAACCAAGTAGAACAAGGGTTAGTCTTTCAGCTTTTTGGAAGAACTAATGGATTTTTCCAGCTATTTTCTGATATCTTGTCAGTAAGGTACTACTGCTTGAAATATTTTCATAGCTTATATCTCAGTGCAAGCTATGTACCATCCATTGGCATCAAGAAATCAATGCCACAGTTGTACTTCCTTCACCTGTGATAATCCAGTATTTTGCACATTACACAGCTGTTGCAGAACAGCATGTTTATGAGAGCATGACTGGATATAAATTAATCACACCGAAGGCATCAGAGTTTCACCTTAGAATCCTCTCAACAAAAAATGTTTGCTTGGGGAGCAAAAGTCAGGATGCTCTGTTATAACTACTTGTTCCTAAGGTTTTGAAATCCCTGTTTTGCCACTGCCTGCTATGCCTTCTGATCATGAAATTTGTTTTGTCTCTCCCAGCTTGAAATATGCAATCTACCGTACAGCTTCCTCCAGTAACAAAAACTACCCCTAGCTGAAAAGCTTTTCTGATGTCTATATAAAGGCAGCCACTCACCCAGACAATTTAGAATCATCTCAGTCTTCATATTCAGCCTTAAAATCCACCTATGGTACATCTTACCCACAGTGATAAGGCCACACATATTCAGCCATGACAAAGTACTGTATGCAACATGGAAAATCTCATGTTAATGCTGTTTTCTTACGTAATACATGTTTTATGACAGTAACAGTCATGACTGGAATACAGGACTGCAGATATGTGCATATATATTGGTCATAACTGTTGAGCAAGGTATGTGAGCCCTGATAATTGGAACTTCTTCACTGATTTTATGTCTTTAGAAAGAAATAGCAAAAATCCTGTTAATTCTGGTCATCAAAATAAGCCATGCTGTATCTAGAGAGACAAAGAATATCAAGAGAAACACACTGAGAGGCTGATGGACTCATTTACATGGCAGGTCACACTTGTTGCATTCAGCAGAAAGAAAAATAAGGCTTCCCCTGTATAATCCTCTTATAAAATCCAGTCTTCAGTAAATGAGATTCAAAATATTCTTTCTCCCCATAATACAGATGCACTGAGTAGCTCTTAACACCGGCGTGAAGGAGGTCCGTGAAGGGAAAGATAAGTTAAATCACATACTCAAAAATGGTTTCTGATCACCACAGAAATCATGACAGCTGAATGGAGAAAGAAGTTCCACAGGCATTTCAGCAGAATTACAAGATGCAGCAAGATTTCAGTTCTTTTCCCTGGCTTGGTTTTGTTTTTTTAATACTTGTTTGATAACCCACAGACCATTCTCAGGCTATAGCAACAAATTATCTCTTTGAAGGTCTTCCGCATTTCCTGGCTACGAAAGGCATAAATCAAGGGATCAATCACTGAGTTGCACATAATGAGAATGAGGTACATGTTGAAGTGAGACATGAAGCAAACACAGTAGAGGTTTTGAGGGCAGGAGATCATCAGGATGAGATGAAGGAAGAACGGAGCCCAGCAAACAATGAAGATGCCAAGAAGCATAGTCAGAGTGATGGCTCCCTTCATGCTGGTTCTTTGACGGACAGAGTTGTACCCAGGCAAAGCAGCTATCTTCTTCACGTGAGTACGAGCCAGGAGGAACATATGGATGTACAGCGAGACCATGAGGAACAACATGGTAAAAAACATAGTGATGAGACAAATGATCACGTAAGTTGATTCATAATAAAGAATGAAGATAATGCCACAGCCCGTGCAAAAGGTCCAGATGCCTGCAATAATAAGCCCTGATCTTTTCACTGTCATGATGTTGTGATAACGCAGGGCATAGAAGATAGTGATATACCTGTCTACTGCTATAGCCAGCAAACTGCACATGGAAGCCACCACAGATATGCAGATCATTGAGTCAAAGACATTGTCTATATGACGGACAAAGGCATCTTCCATAATTATGTGTCTATTGTTTATTAAGTATATCGTTATGGTCTCCCAAGCATTAGACACACTAACCAGCATGTCAGCCACTGCTAAACTGCAAACGAAAAAATACATGGGTGAATGCAAGTTCTTGTTCTTAACTATTGCACATATAACTAAGATATTTTCAAGGAGGCTTACAATGCCCAGAGTTAGGAAAACCTCAGCCGCAATGACCACTTGCTCACATGGTGATGACTTGCTCTTGACAGTAGGCACGGTAAAGTTGCTGCCAAAGGCACTCAGGTTTAGTTCAGAAACATATGATTGAGAGGACGTGTTCATCTCTGGAAGCAAACACACTCTGTTCTTTCTGAGGGACTTGCCAAGGAGTGCAGTAAATGCATTTTCCAGAAGGTAAAGACCCTGCCAAAAAAAATACAGTGTGACGAGAACAGGCTGAAGTTGACAAAACAAATATTACCCATTTCTATTTGATTTGGCTTGTACACATCCTGCCTCTTCCACACTGTATTCCTGTTCTGATTCTAAATTAACCTCCAGTTGGCTTAGAGCTTTTCTACTCACCCTTACTGGGAAATTAAACCACAGACCAAGAGATTCATGCAAGAGATTCTGCTGAACACCAAGCAACAAACAGTTTTCAAAGTCTCAATTCTCAGACCCCAGAAATGCAGCAGAATATAGTATTACATTCAGCAGAACCTGCTCACTTGAATACAACATATAGAAGTTTAAATTATTGCCACAGTTAAGAATTGAACATTTTCAGTAATAGATTTAAATGCTTCCCTGATATTTATGCTTCTTAAGTTATAATTGTGTTATAAAGAGCTTATATGTGCAATACTAACAGGCTGACTTAAAAACATCGTATTAAACAACTAACCAAGGTGAACACATATATTTCAGGATACACTAAGGTTACAGAATTAATATGAGTTTAATTCTGTCATAAGAATGAGTTTTCTATTCCAGATCATATTTTATTTGTCACTTTTGTTAGTGACAATATTCAGGACATGTTGTAAGCTATGGGATTCTTAATAAGGGTAACACTTTGATTCTGATTCATTCTGACACTGACTGATTAAAGTCAGTGACTTGTTGCAAATAAAATTCAAAGCATATCAAGCAAAATAATTTTCAGTTTTTAAAAGTAACTTTTGCTTGCAATCAAGAATTAACTGTACCTATTTACCAGAGCTTCTCCTTCAAATGCTCTTCCTCTTCAGTGCCTTCAACCTTTCCTCCAGAGAGCAGAAGTTTCAGACCCACTCCTCACCCGACATCTGGGGCTGGGGATTCCTTGGTGGGAATAGATGACAAAAATCGAGGAGAAGGAATGAGTAAATCCATAGATTCAAGGCTGAACACGTATAAATTACTTACTGTGCAACTGCCTTTTTATAGACCCCAAGCAATAATGATTTCAGTACTCAAACTGTGGCTCCTCCTCCCCTTCTTTGCCCCGCTGAACTTCTCTTTTCACAGCTTTTGTAAGCAAAGGCCTAGGTTTTTACCACCATCTAGTGAGCTTCTCTGGTATTGCTAAGGGAACAGTGATTCTGAGCTAAAATTCATTTTAAGTTTTTTATAATGTTAAAGGGGAAAACGCACTAGGCATGCTCCTTTCCAAAAACATTTCTATTTCGTTTTCTCTGCTTTCACTAGTACTTACTGACAATAAGTTCTGACTGCAATCGTGCTCAAAGAGCGGAGAGCAAAAGACTGTCATTGAAGTGTTAGGCTTATTAGTTATAAGCATTTGTCTTACATTCACAGTTATAATTTTGCAAGAATAAGAAAAACATTGTTTCAGAACTCAGAGAATGTAATCAAGCCCATCATACCACTAACAGAAGATATAACTCAAGTACTCTGGGTGAAAAAATAGAGAATTTCCTAGAACAGAGATTTTGATGCAGACATGGAAGGAGTACACAGTGCATCGTGCCAGGAGCCAGGGCTTACCGAAATGGATGGGAATTACCCCAGGTTTCATAGGTCTAAGATTTGGTGAACTCGGTGGTCAGTATTGCAATGGCTAAAGTCTCTGGGTCTAGCAGACAGGCAGCCAATGCTCATTCTGGGTCTTTCCCAAAAGATAGCAAAATCAGTGTCAGTCTTTTCTTTACCAAATGGACTCTGCTTCGATGTACACACTGAGGAATGCAAAGCACACACCTTCCTGACATCAGCAAATGCCCTTCATGTTATCCAATAACCAGCCAGTCAAATACCATGCAGGATTTGAGGTTAGCTTGAGATAAAAAGTCTCTGTTTTTCCAAATCACCACCTTTCCACAACTTAGTGGGTTAGGGATTTTTTGTGGTATATAAGAACTTCAAATTCTTACTTTTAACTTAGAGCATTTTTCTTAGAGGATCAACACCAAAAAAACCACAAACTTTATTGCCATTTTTGTGTTTTCAGTGTTCAGATAGAGTTTATTTTTATCATGCAGCTAAATGCATATTTCTGATTATTATATTCCACAGAAGCTTCCTCTATTGTTACTTTTAGCTTCACTCTAGGGACACTGAAAGACCTGAGCCATGGTATAAAATGTTCTTATGTACAAATAGTCCCTGCACCAAAGGAGACAGTGAAAAGCATTTTTATTCACTTGAGTAAAAGTGAACCTCTAGCATTATGCAGCTATAGTCTGGAGATGAACTTTGCATGCCCCTTCTCCCCACCACAGGAAAGAGAATTTAGGTTATCATAAAATAGAGGTAGCGAACTATGCTCAAGTACAACTGTTAGATCTGAGCAGATAATGCCAGTCAGTGAACAGCAACAGTCCCTGCTGTATCCAACCTGTTGGTATGCCAAACTGAAGCTCATAGTTCTTTGCTATGCCCAAAAGAAAAGAATAGAGGACCCCCATCTACAGTTCTCCTTCTGTTCTTTAATGTACAGCATGCTTTAGTTCCCCTAGGTTACCTTTAGTTAACTTATCTTAGTTATCTTTGGTTAGCTTTTGCATAGGTTTCTATTTTCCTACCACGGACCCTAGAAATCATACACCTAAAAGTAAAATTTTATTTCTTTCACTGTTCCTATATCTACCAAGAATTGTACAGACAGTGTGCTTTCTCCACTTCCAAATATTCCTCTTCCAGTATCCTATTTTTTTGTTTATTACACTATGTAAATTTCCTGTTCACAAATTCCTCTGTATGTTCCATTTAATAAACGTTTCTGCAGCCCAGCTTAGCTGCCTTTAGAAAAGTTTTCACTGTATCTCGTAGGACTCAGTAGACCAGCTGATTACAAGAAATAAATCACACATCAGACTGGATGGTTATTCCTTAGAGCAATGCCAGGTTTCTCACATATAAATTATGAATCAGCCTTTGGAGTCTTCTTCCACAGCCCAGGCGTAAACCTTGGTGCAAGTGTCTATGCTAGACAAAGAAACTCCCTTATTTACAAAGCTTTCAGAAAATGTACCTGCCTGGAAACTAGGGTAGTGATGTAGATGTAGTTTGTTTATGTTAGAGGATGAAATTAAAAAATAGGGTTTTTTAAGAGAGTTTTATCATTGTATTGCTGCAGCAAGCAGCTATCAGCATTACAGTTTGACACGTAGGTGGCTGAAAGGGCACCCAATTAGCAGTAGGTGCAGGCATGCAGTTGAGTTACAAGGATTGTAATAAAGGGACATGGGAGCAGATATTTGGATTCACTCAAGAAGAATCCAAGAGCAGATTCAAATCCCAGCTGGAGGACTCCTGGCTGAACAGTCTGGTCTTTCAAATGGGCTTGGAGTTCAGCTCCCTTGTTTGTTCAGTTAAATAAATTCTTTGTCTTTACAGACATGTTGGTGCTCGGTGTTTTCTAGGGCCACGAAGATGATGTATGGTTTGCCAGTGGGTGCAAACAGCATTGAAAAGCCTGTGTTGGTACTTATCTATTGGGCTGTACCAACGCAGCAGAAGACCTGATCCCTTGAGTGCACACAGAATGGGTACCCTGAGGAACACACTGAAGCTTCTGTCCTGTCCTCAAACCAGCATTTTCTTTCCACACATGGAAAGAGGAAGGGAGGTTGAACCAGGAACTTGGGGTGTGGGTGCACAGATCTCCCTGCAGCCTAGAAGCAAGCACAGCTGGGTCATACACTGAGGAGCTCAGATCTGAAGCCCTTGGGAGTTCTGCTGAGGTCCATGGTCACCTCAGAAGGGATACTAAGATGTATCTTTAGGAAAAGGTGTTTTGTTTTGTACTTTGTGTAATATCTTACCTAGCATAAAAAAAATGCTAACTGCTGATAGTCTCTGTTTCACTGACCTCACCAAGATTTTTCTTTGGGCCCTAGGCAAAAAGTTCAAAAGTGCCCCAAAAGGGTGTCAGTGAACATAAGAAAGAAGTAAACAACAATGTCAATGGGGAACGAGACATCAGATTCTATTTCAGTCCCACACCATTTCTTTCTGTTGTGAAGCAGTGAGAGAGAGCAGAAAGCCACTGCAGAGCATATCTGCCTCACAGGCCTCATCGGCAACCAGAGTGGGAGCGATAATAGCATTGCTGGCAGGAACACCCAGTCCTTGCCTGCCACCAGCCCCCCGGGTGATGGTGTCAAAGCTCCTCCTCACCCAGCATGTCCACTGGGACAGGAGAGGCCATGGCTACCCTCACCCGTAAGCCAAGTTACATCATGTCAAAACCGGCAGGGAATTGCATGCCACCTTCATGACAGCAAGATTTTATCAGTGAATGCATAAATGAAGCCAACAGTACAACGAGCCCCGAAAGAAGTTTCTGTGACAAGAGCTTATTACACGCTCAGATGCATTCTGGTATTAATCTGTGCCCATCTTAATGGGCTCAGAGAAGAGTTTTACTGAAGCTAAAACCAATTCACCCCACTTGTCTAGTACTAATACATTGGAGCAATTTAATTCCAGTGTCCTTCTGTAGCTATTTTTATCTGTTAGATGAAAATACATTTGTCCTTCACAACGTAGCTTTGGATTGGTGCTCCTGGCCTTTTTATGAAATCTCTGTTCTGTCTACCCCTTCCCTCTGCTGACATTAACACATTCCAGAGCCACAGGGTATTGTCTCAGACTTCATTCTGATCTAAGGATAATCCATGGATCCAGGGCAAAAGAGAAGATCATGGCCTTCTCTGCATTTAAATACATAGTCACATAACAAATGTTCTCTTAACTTCTCGGACTGAGAAAACTATTTCTCTTGACCTCTGCCTGGAGTAGCTTTGGCTGAATCCCATCAAGGTCCTTAGTGATACCTCCCCAGCATTACCATCCAGTTATCTTTTAACAAAGACAGGCAATAAATCCAGACCGAAAATAAAAGGCATCAATCTTTCCTGTCTTTAAATAAAAAAGCTGAGTGAAGTGGTGGTAAACCCTTTGTTGTTTAGTTCACTCCTCTGTCCAGCCAACTGTTGCAAGCCTAAAAATTAGTCTTTGCAATAAGCAATGGTGTGGCAAATACATTCTTTTACATTGTGGCCCTAATCTTCAAACCGACTCTTGAATGATTTTTGCAGCAAGAATCACAGAAAAGCAAGACTAAAAAAAGACATCAAAATATCACATGAACTGTGCCCTGCCAAAGGGTAGGATCAGCCATACTTGGTATGACTGCACTAGCACTTCTAACCATCACCCTTTTCACCTGAATCCTTCAGAATAGTTTGAAACATTCTTGGCCACTCCCAGTTAGCACCCATCAGTAGTGCTTCTCGCATCAGAGTAGCAAGCCGAGAAAGATGCACTACAGTATAAAAGGCATTTTAGAAAGACATATCCTAATAACCTAAACGATATCCTAATAACCTAAACCAGATGATGCTGTAACTAGCCCCCTAAACCTTAAAAGGGCAGCAAGAGGTTTAGTAACCATCATTTTTATGTGCCCTTTAATGGGAGCCAATTCCAGTAATGAATCATACCCTAACATTTTGTTAGAGCATGGGTCAGAAGTACAGACATGGTGAATCATTAAGAAGTACCAGCTACAGACTCTACAAAGCACAGATGGCCAGTATAAGACCATAGAAACTTTCTGACAGAAAGGAGGGGTAATTGAATAATGGA